AATTGCTGACACAATGTTGCTTATCTAGCGAAAAATAAATATGGTTGCTGACACAATGTTGCTTTGTCTAGCGAAAAATAAAAATGGTCGCTGACGATGTTGCTTTGTCTAGCGAAAAATAAATCGAGCTTTAGAAGCTAAGCGATTGCTCACTGCAGAAGGTGAGTAGATCAAAGAAAATCACTCGAAGCATGATTATGACGTAGGTCCGTCGAGATGGCTGCTGGCCCACTGCCTAGCGAAAACCATCGAGCAATAAAAACTAAGCGTTACTCTTGTAGAGTTTGTAAGCGAAACAAAACTCTAGGCCGTGATTCGCAAACCGTGTTCGTCGTTCCGAATTAGGTGGGAATCAGGCTGCGTACACAAAGCGTTACTCTTGTAGAGTCTTTAAGCGAAATAAAACAAAGAAGTACCGTAAGTAACGATACGTAATAACAACTCTTGGAGAGGTTTAAAAGTCCGATCTCCAGAGGACCCCCTTTTATAGTTCCAAAATTCCTTATCTGCTTTAATTTGTCGATACGTTTGCCTTATATCGCAAATAAAACAACAACGAAGATATCGAAAATTAAGTAAAGAACCAGATGCCCTTTTAGGATCAGTATCAAATGTGACGATTAGCGTCGAAGCTAGTACGAATTTTAGATAAAAGAAGCGAAATAAAAATTTGTTTTTTGAAAACTGTGTGAGAGTTATAAGAAATAGTCGATTTAAAATCGGATTCAGGAACCGGCATCATGTGTTGAGAAGCAATAAAATCCTCCATGAATGCAACATATGTTTCTTTGAGATTCGGGAATTTCCTGAATATATTTCTTTAGCATTCTTTAGCATATAAAACGAAGATATGCATAAGAATAACCAATAAGTAGCGAATATAAACAAGAGAAAAAGATAAATAAAGAGCATTGTGTTGTAAAAACGGTGGAATAACAGAAAATAGGCTTGTTAACTTTCAGAAAATCCACAACTTAGAGATATCCTTCACGAGCTGGGTCGTGTTGGGACAAAACTAACAGGTGCCTACTAAGAAAATCAACCACTTAGAAATATCCTTCACGAGCTGGGTCGTGTTGGGACAAAACTAACAGGTGCCTACTAAGAAAATCAACCACTTAGAAATATCCTTCACGAGCTGGTTGTGTTGGGACAAAACTAACAGGAGCCTACTGAGAAAATCCACAACTTAGAAATATCCTTCACGAGCTTGGTCGTGTTGGGACAAAACTAACAGGTGCGTAAAAACGGTGGAATAACAGAAAATCGGCTTGTTAACTTTCAGAAAATCCACAACTTAGAAATATCCTTCACGAGCTGGGTCGTGTTGGGACAAAACTAACAGGTGCCTACTGAGAAAATCAACAACTTAGAAATATCCTTCACGAGCTGGGTCGTGTTGGGACAAAACTAACAGGTGCCTACTGAGAAAATCAACAACTTAGAAATATCCTTCACGAGCTGGGTCGTGTTGGGACAAAACTAACAGGTGCCTACTGAGAAAATCAACAACTTAGAAATATCCTTCACGAGCTGGGTCGTGTTGGGACAAAACTAACAGGTGCCTACTGAGAAAATCAACAACTTAGAAATATCCTTCACGAGCTGGGTCGTGTTGGGACAAAACTAACAGGTGATTACTGTTTTCTGCTTCCCAAAACCTTTGTAGTACATATCTATGTTTGTATACATAGAAGTAGCGAAAGATATGAATAAAATATAGAATGAGTCTTAGAGACTCGCCCTTATGGAACATAATTGAAAATGATTTCTAAGGCCACAGTATAATTTGGTTCGCCAAGAATTCTCACCAGAATGTACGAAATGAAGAACCAATTCAACCCCTATGGGTATGTCTATAAGGTCCGATTACAAAATGCGTCATTTTGGTAGATCACTGATATAAAATTGGCTGTGAAGCCTGTATCGTGCAAGATACGAATTATAAGAAAGATGCGAAAACATATTTGATATGTATCAACTATATGGAAAGAAATAGACGAGGATAGTAAATGTGGTTGTGTAGCAAAATAGAAATGTTGGTATTTGAAGAAGTGATTTTGAAATTAAATTGAAGTTTGTTTGAGATATTCTATAGGACGTACAAGCACGTGACCTGGATTTTTGTATCCTTGGATATTTCTGTTGTTGTAAGACTCCGTTTCCAGCAGCATTTCTTTTTGTGAGTTCGACATTGTTGTGGTCTTCTAATATAGTTTGTTAGACCAAATAGGAGGGTTAGGCCTTTCTAGGTGTTGTGGTGTTTGTGATGTGATGTTCATGATTTGGTAGAAGCGATGGTGCCTTTTTATTCCCTTCCCAAACTGTGTCTTTGACCTTAGTAGTTGTCACGAGAGAAATGGTTAGGGCGATGAGTTTTGGATTCGTCCCCCAGGTGACCTGTTGAGGTTTTAAGGAAGTTCGAAAATTTAGTGGTTGACTGTCGTAGTCAACTTTGTTATTGTTTGATGCTATTTTGGTTATCTACCTAGTGGATAACCATAGCGAAGCTTGCTTTGTTACGAAATATTTTGCCTACCACATGGGGTATTAATACAAGGGGTAGAAAATTGTGGACTGAAACTAAGGGGTGGAGATAAGGCAAGCAAAATAATCGCTACTTGTGCGAACGGCACTCAGGATTTGTTAGTAGAGCTTAGGTCGTGGATAAGTAAATGGCAAAGGGGTTTGGAATGGGGCAACTACAAAAAATGAATTAAAGGGGTCATTAATCTCTTGGAACAAACAAAATACAAATAGACAGGAAACACGTCTAGTAATTTAGTATAGGGCGCCACTTTGAGGTGTCTAATTATAACTATTACAACAACTAGTTAAATAGGAAAATAATTATTAAAAAATCAAAACATATCTGGGCGACATTTTTGTAACGATAACTTGGGATACTATTCGAAAAGAAAAAAAAGGATTAATTTAAAAAAATATACAAAATGTTAAGAAATAAAATTTAACATTTATTTTGTGTCATACCACAAACAGTTACACAAATACAGACAGCACAAAAAATGCTATATTAGTTACAGAGATTCTTACCAAAGTAATAAAGAAAACTTACATGTATTCTACTGATTTACAAACTCAGGAGATGCTACAAAAACTTACAAATGTTACTGACGTAAAAACTGTGGCAAATATAAAAATTAGTACAAACAAAAAAAAATTATCTTTTTAAACCATGAAAGCAATTATTATTTTTTAATGTCTATCTTGACTTTAAATTTTAGACACAGAAAAAGTTACCTGAACCTCACTCAACTTCAATCTGCATGTCTGGGGTCGGGAACTGGAATCATGCTGGAACTATACTGGGGACAGATCCGGGATGACGATCAGGGATAAGAAGATGAGGGCGGAAGCCAGCACCGGTTGGAACACAACCTTGAAAACTCGTCTTCTTTAAAGACTGGAACAGGCACAGCACAATGGAAACATGAGGCCATCTTCAAAAACTAATGTAAAACTGCCCAATACCAAGTATCCAACTGCTACTGTCACTTCATGCTACATTTCCATGACAAGAAAAGGAAAACGAAAAGATTTCGAATTTGAAAATAAATTTGGACTCCAACAAAACTGAACACGCCTTGATCAGCGGCCGGCTTTACCGAGAGTAACGAAATTATCCTCAGAAATTGATCGCATGACTTAAAATAACAAAACACATTGGAAATTAAAACGTAGATTATTAATTTGAAAACGTAGTACTTCGGGCAGCATAAATCAAAGAATATCGAGCAAAAGACACAGCCACGAAATAAATAAACAACTCTAAAGTGGTTTTTATTACTTGGCGACGGTGAAAAGAACGAAATATTATTTGGGTTTTAATACGTACTAGTAGGAAACTGAAATGCATTAAAAGTACTCTTCGATTTTTCAAACATATGTGAGGGGATTTCAATATATTACATATACGAGAGGATTTCAATATAGTTTAAAGAATCAATGAATTGCAAATGCTACAACTTAAGCTGTTTTGTTGAGCTGGAAGCACCCCTCTTTTCGCTCCCAGAAACTTCAACACTGGTCTGTTCCACAATGTTTGTAGGAATCTGCCATTGGTCGTTGTGCATAAGAGCCAACGAACTGTACCTGATGCTAGTTGTTGAACTTTTAAAGTAAAAATAGACATTTGTCATAAATAATTGCTTTTATAACAAGTTAAGAAATTGTAATAAGTAAAATTGTAAATGTGTTAGGGTGTGGCCTAGCTGTCATATTAATTATTCTCAAAATTTTAAAATTTAATATTGACATCTGACAGCTAGCTTAATTTTTTTTTTTGACAGTTGATACACACCTATGATACATACCATCATAATTGAGATCTTGTTTTGTTTTTGTTTAAAAAAAAAGGTTAACCTCTGTGCATAGTTTTATTTGAAAAGATAATTTTCATTTGTAATAAATTATTTCTGCTACAAAATATCGCCCATTAACAATTGTAAGTTCTTGTAGTATCTCCAACTTCTAGAGTTTGTAAACGGATAGTAACATAGTAAGTTTGTTTTTTTGTTATTTTGTATTTATTTTTGTAACTATATATATAGTATTTTTTGTAATATTAGTCTATCTAGTATATCTGAAGTCTCTATGTAGTAAACGAATTAGAAAGAAATGAGACACTAAAAAAAGGCCGTGAGAATAGTTTATTGCTCTTCGTTCCTTTAGTGCAAAATTGTATGTCCTTACTTGTCGCTGTAGTAAATTTTTTTAACTTACTATTTTCGAAGTTATATTTGCATCTAAATTTATTTTACGCATAGTAATACTTGTAGTTAATTTAACTGAAACATCCAGATAATCTTTTTTCAAAAAATGCATATAATTTCTGTACACACTTTTACAGAAGCCTTTAAAAACAGAGGCCTGCAGTATTGTCCAATAATATAAACTAGATATTTGTGTTTTATCGTAGATACATAGATATTGCATTCAATTTAATCTCTAATATTTACATCACAATTTAATTTTTCTAGAACTTCGCCTGGTACTTTAGCTAGAGACTTAATTGATAACGGAGCAGAAAGAAATATAGATTTAACGGTAGAAAGGCGAGTAAAACTCGAAGGTGTAGAACTTGAAGAATATGAAAAACGACAACGAGCGCGAGGTTACAATGTAGAAAAGGAGTAAGTAATAATTCTATAGTATAATATTAAACATGTGCGAAAAGATAAATATGCATGAAATTTTTTACAAAAATAACAACACTTTCATTGAGTAAAATGAGCACTAATGTAATTAACATTTAAAGATTCATTCACTTGAACCGTAAAGTTGTTCAAAAATACTGATTTTCATTATAAGGATCGTTCTTACGTTTATATTACTTTCAGAGATGCAGATTCGGACTCTGATTCTGACATAGAAATGTCTGTTATAACCAAAGGTAGACACGACATAGTTATTAAACAAGAGGGAAAAATAAATGCCGGGTTCTTTAAGGTCACGAAAAAAATGTACCCCATGTATCCTTTCCATGAAGAAAAAATTAAGAGCGATGAATATGGAGAAATTATAAAACCTGAAAATTACAAATTGGCAGATGTGACTGGAGAAGGAGAAGACAATAAAGAAAATGTATTGATAAAAAAGGAAGTAGAGGAAGAAATCAGTAAGTACATACAAGGCTTTTCAAAAAAATTTCTATTAACGTTTTTACTGTTGTTTGGAATAGTGATCTACCATAGACAAATTCTTTAGTCATGTTGTTTTTCTTGTGCGTCTACCATGTTTGTTTTCAATTTCGCATTCCCTTCTTAGTTTCAATATTCTTATTTTTTATTTCTCATTAAGTATATGGCCTAAATATTTAATTTTCTCTTATTGGTAGTGCTAAAAACTTGAGTTAGTCCAAAAGCTGTACCTTTCAATATTTTTTGGAGTGTTTCGGTAACTTCCTAGTTTGCTATGTTGGTCAGTATTTAGTGTTAGTATCTCCGCTATTTCTACTGATTTAGTATCAAATTCTTCAATTAATACATAATCAAAGTATTTCTTATCAAGTAGTTCTGTATCATTTCCGTCTCTGATAATTAAGTCTGATTAAATCTTTGGCTTTATTTGTTCTATTTTTGTCATAATTTCAGATCTTTTGTGTCAGACCTATTTTCTTGTCACCCTTTATACAGTTATCGTTTATTTTTAATTGGATTACGTTTGACTATCCTCAGGATTACTTATCCTCAAAATTATTTTCTGAGGTGATTCCAAATATTTCTTAATTGCAGTGGGTCAAATAATACTATCCATATTTTTCTAGGTTATATTAGGCCACCTGTCATTCCAACTTTTTTAGTCGTCTATTTTTTCACGGAATAGGTACACACCTACTGCCACACCTTTTGGTGTCCCAAATTTGATCTCTTTGTCCGTCTCCTATATTCTGTCTGTGTGTTGTTGGCTTTCAGTCTTACTAACTTTTACCTAATATAGTAGCCAACATGATATCTAATGATAACTAGAAGAAGAAGAACTATTTATTACCTTGCAGTCTTCACATTCACGTATATCTTCAAGTTCATCATTTTTTAAAATAATACTGCTTTTAGTTCTTTCTTTCTTATTTTCTGTTTAATTTTATTATAGTTACAGTTGTGGTTTATACTATAAGTAAATATACTTTTGCACTTTTCAAAAAATACCTTTATTGAACATCAACTTGTTTACAAAAACTCAATGACAACTATAAATTTCAAAATTCAAAATACTGCTGTTGCAAACCGTCAAAAACATCTGTTCAGATATATTTTCTGACGTTCCAAACTTTCATAGACATTTCATGAATTTTCGATGTCATCTTAAATGTTCTCGAACTACTTCTTCTTTTTCGTCAAAGAACTTTTTCTATGTGGGATAAATCTTATGGAACTTTCGTAACACGCTCCATCCTTTCTTATTTGTGGGATTGTATAACCTTATTGGGTCACCTCTTTCGAAAGTTTTACGAGTAGCATGCATGTCGAACCTGGCTTTGGCTGTATGACAGTGAAGCTTTAAACTTGTACGAGCAAATTCGTAGACTTTTTCCAATTTTTCTTTTAAGGCTCATCCTCGATAATCCTAACGGTAAATTTCAGTTTGCTATCTCTATTTCAAAAATTTCTTTCTTTACAAAAACAAATCTGTCATGAAGTAATATTCTAAACTTCGTATCCCTCTCAAGCCCAGGTCAAAAATGCGTTTACCTTTTACTCGAGCCGATTATACACCGAGACAACCCCTGCAGTGACAGGTTTTGTGGTGTTTAGTGGTGTTTTGAGTAAATATAATAACAGATCAAAGTAATATAATCTATTCATAAATTTACAATGTAACAAATGTACATACATAATTTATTTGTTATTTTTTTTACGGAAAAATTGGCTGTCTGAAGTTTAACGTAGATAGTTTACGGAAAACAAAAATTATAAAAAAAAGATTATTATTATATATCATAAAAATTTGATTAGTATCACGATCATTAAAATTGATAAAATGAAACGATATAAATATAGAATTATGTCTAATTTTTCTTCAGAAGGTTTTTCAAATAAAAATTATAATAAAAATCTTATCTAATTAGTATCACGATCATTAAAATTGATAATATGAAATTATATAAATATAGAATTATGTCTAATGTTTCTTCAGAAGGTGTTTCAAATAAATATTATAATAAAAATCTTGAAATTTTTGTAGCATATTTTCCCACAGGTCCATATATTTATCAATCTTTTCGAATAAAATATTTTTTGGGATCAGATGTATACTACGTACTTATTTCAAAAATTTACAACTAAGGATTTAATTTGTTATATGTAAATATACTCCTAGATCTAGAGAAAATGGGAGTGCGACAATGGGAATTACTGGCACACGATCGACAAACATGGAAGGCAATAGTAACCGCGGCAAAGACTTACGAAGAGTTGTAGCGCCATTGATGATGATGAAATATACTGTATAACTATTTATATGGATGTGAAATATGGATCATGAAGGATAATATGATGGACATTTTAGGATGTACGTTGAAAAATTAAGGCAAATATCGAGCACAAATTTAATAATCAAATCTTGCAAAAGTACTTTCGCTTTCTACAGCATCATCAGGGGCATCTGAAATAAGCCAAGAAAAGTTTTTTTAAATGAAGAAAATTAATAAACTTCGATAAAAACCTCGAAGTTAATGGATGATAAAGGTTTTTTGTGATTAACATTTTAGACTTACTTCGTCAAATTTGGGCTATCCAGCAAGCGCAGATGCCCCTGATGATGCTGTAGAAAGCGAAAGTACTTGGGCAAGATTTGATTATCAAATTTGTGCTCGAAATTTGCCTTCAATTTTTAAAGTTCATTTATTCGAGCATTCAACCTTATATCAATAATTTAGGATGTGACTCAGGTATATGATAAAGTATGGCAAAGACGCCATAACTATAAACTAAGACTACATTTACCAAAACGATACTCTCAAATAATTGACTCCTGCATCTTGGAAAGATATTTCAGTAATAAACAGGAAGAAACATACATGGAATTGACAGATATTACAGCAGGGCTGCCACAAAGAAGTGTCTTTACCTTTTGTATACGTGTTGTATTATTGTCCTAGAAAATATACAATTGCAACATTTACCGAAGATATTGCTATCATAGCAATGTGCAAAACCAGCAAGGAAGCGACAAAGAAATTACACAGATGTTAATCAAATATATACTCAAGGGAAATAAGCAAAAAATAGACCATGTTCGTGACACTCAATAATCCAGGTCACTGACAACTTTTTTAGTTATTGTAGACCTCTAGGAAAAAAACCTACTTGTTTCTTGCCTTGAATCTGAAGCTGTTTTTTAATTATTGACAATTTGATGCAAAAAACGCGACTGTTTCTATGATTATTGATACTAGTATTAAAAAAAATAGATTTTTGGAAGAAAATTGTTTTGCACGAATTGTTTAAACAAACTAGACTATTTATTAATTAATTAATATATAAACAAATTACTAATTCCTAATGTACGTAGAAATTACATACAAATTAAAAAAAGAATGATCAAAATCCATTGAGTAGATCCGGAGATATAGAAAATTTTATTAGTTTGAAATTGCTTGTTCGGTATGGATTTGTAGGTTCTTCCTAGTCACCATTTGAACTACATTTTTGAAAATTCGTAGAGGGTCCTGTAAAGGTACAATGTTTGTGCAAATTTTTTAACAAAAAATACAAATCCCATTCCTTAACATGGCAAAAAATGAGGTTCCTTAATTATTATAATCAAATTAGCTGTGAATTATCATCTTTTCTTTGACTTGATCTACTACTTGTTGTAATTGGTCGTAAAACACTTCCCTTGTTGTTTGAGGCTTATTATTTTCTGGGCCGTATACTCCGATAATGTTCAGGTTTTCCTTCTCCATTCTTATCTTTGATGTTACTATTCTTTCTGATATGTATTGACACTGTTTGATGTAATTTTGATACCTTTGGTGTATTAGTAAGGCTACACCTTCTTTGGCCCTGTTTTCTTTTGCTACTCCACTGTAGATTAGTATGTATTCACCTAATTTTGATGGACCTTTTTCTTTATTTTTTGTTTGCTGTAGAGCACACATGTCTATTTCTTTCTCTTTCAACACTTGGGTTATTTCTTGGTCCCTTGAGTTGAGTGATCTGATATTCCAAGTAATTCTCATCTGGGTTTTGGATGTTTTTCGCTTGTCCTTATTTCTTGCCGTAGTCGTCTTCATAGTATCAATCCAGTTCCGAGACTGTACATTGTTTCTTTGAGCAGTATTTGATTTTACGATTGGTAGGTTCCTGAGCAATAAATATAAATAATTAAATTTCATATTCAAATACTGCAAAATATTTGCTTATTACTTTGAGCTCATGTAAAGAAGAAAAGAAAATAATAATTCTGATTGAAATACAAAAAAAAATGTACTGGATGATTGACCAAAACTCTACGCTGTTTCTATATAATAAATTATTATTATATAAGCAAATACTGAAATAATTGTATTATTATAAAAACAGTATAAATATTTAGAAGGAAAATGGAAAATCAACAGAAAATATTTCTATACATATAAAAATTTAATAAAATTATAGGTACTTACTGCTTATTTATATAAAATTTGCTATTTTAAATACAATAAACACACTGGTTTGTCAAAAGTCGAAATAAGCCCTAATAATGTTATTCAACTTTATTTATCCTCCTCCGAGGGTTTTACCTACCTGGCGAGATACCAGAAGCTACCGACAAGGACACCCTGTGCTGACGGAGAGACAATTGCATTTAGCGGAAATTTAAATTTTTTAAAAGTTTATATCAAATAGCTGCTTTGTGTTACACTTTATGTTTAAAAATAAAAACAGATTCGGAAAGTGGGTCAAATTCTGTAGTGCCCTATTTCAAAAAAAAAAATTTTACGTTTATTTTAACCAAAAATATTTGAAAAAAAAATATTGTTTAAACAATTTATTAAATTACAACCAAATAGTGCACTAGAACTTTTTTAGACCTTCCATATAAAAAAAGAATCATCTCAATATCTGCCATAGTTTTTGCGTTATTTGATATAAACTTTTACATTGGAATTTACCTATGCCCAGAATCGCGAGG